AAGTTATTTAAATCTGTCCATCCCTTATTTGTCTAACCATTTGCAAAGGAGATAGAGTTCCCAGATTGGCTAAAGATTAAACAGAGCCCACCCTAACCTGGGAGTGGTGTCAGTGTTGCTTGCATGGAGGCAAATGACCTAAGTGAAGGAAGGATGAATGGATACCTGAGGTGAGAAAATCAAGATTAAGAAAGGGGAAGGGATGCTGAGTAGGCAAGCAGTAGTATCAGCCTATGGAGGTAAGAACTGACAGGGCTTGTCAATGAATTGGATACTTAAAAGAACAGAGGATTAAAAAATAGTTGTATATTTTGAGTTTCAACAGTTGGGCAGAAAATGTGAAAGGGTAGGCTGGAGGACCGATTAGGTTTGAGGATTATCAAGGCTTCTGTTTTCATCAAGTTAACTTTAAGATACTCATTATGTTATAGGGGCTAGGCAGGGAGTTAGGAAACCTGAAAGCTGAGAACCATGACTTGGGAGGTTGATTAAGGAATCACATCCTTGATGGCTGATGTGAAGGAAATGACTTGTGATGTACAGCAGGGTCTTGCTGACCCATAGGTCCTGGAGCGCACAAAAAATAACAGTCCCAATTTGACTATCCAAAGCCAACAGTATCCCTCCCACCCCTGAAATATGTGAGGAGTTGACACATAGCCCAGACTCTGAAAGTTAATGAATGACACATTACCCCGTTTTCCAGAACTGACCATCTCATGTCAACAGACCCCAATAAAAGTTTGATGTCTTTGGAACCCCCAGAACAGCACACCTTCTTGAGCATTCCCACTCTCTGATCTGTACAGTGGATTTTTACTTTGCATTAATGAATCTGCCCAGCTTGTCTCCTCCATATCCATCCTTAATTTTTTTTCTCTGATGAAACCAGGATTTTTCTGGCCCCTGGTTTGGTTATCCAAATCTGGTATTTGGCAAGCCAACCCAGGAAACCCCTACTCAGGGGCCAGTAACCTTATTTTTCCCTGCTTCTGATAAGCTGACATGATTCCTTATTGGTGTGAGGGGAACCATCTTTTTACTCTTATTCTGGACTATTATCTTGCAAAACTGAACACAACTGTGAAGATTTACTTCTCTTCTCAATTGTTTTTAAAAACAAGCAAATAATTACTTATCAACTTGCCTTTTATATCCTAAACTGTAACTACAGTATTAACATGTACAGTTTGGGCTTTGTGTATTCTCTCTCTTCTGTCTTGCTTGTACTACTAATAGTTTGTTGTTAAAGTTTGGATGTTTTATCACCTTAGCCAACCTTAATTGGAATGTGACATTCTGTAACTCATAAGACTCACATAAGACCAAAGGGAAAAAAATGTGCTAAGACACCCTTCAAACAATTCATGCAGCAACTGTGTGTATGACCTGCAGCCATGTGTGCACAGGTAATGTTTCATTCTGTCATACTGTTGGGGTTAAAAAACAAGGTAAAAAGGATGCAGTAAGTAGGAGAGGAAGAGGTGTAAAGGTTATAAAGAGCATTTTTTAATATGAAAGGATTTTGTGTGTAAATAAATTTTGTCATAAAGGATTGTTCCAAAATGGAAACAGACAAGGGCAAAAAGCAGAAGGCAAAAAGCATGTCCCAGAAGGCTTGTGTCAAGGTTTATGAGATACAATCAATGGAAAATGGTAGGGCATGAAGAGGTGTAAGAGTTACAAGAGGACATTTTCTGGATAAAAAGATTTTTACATGGTAAAATAAGGATTTGTCTTAAAGGATTGTTCCAAAATGGGAATGAACAGATAAAGACAAAAGCAGGATAAAGTGTGTCACAGAAGGATTATGGTAGGGTTTATGAGATAAAATAAATAAAAAAAAAAAATGCTGTCTTGATAAATTGATGATTCTCAAAAACTTCCCCTTAAGCCCTAATAAAGCTAGGACCTAACGTGTGTTGTCAATCTCCGATCTGAAATGAACCTGTTCTCCTTTATTCTTTTATCTCTGTAACTCCTCTGTACCTTTACCATTCTTAATAAACTTTGCTATTACTTTCACTACATTTCTCATCTTGCTTGAAATCTCTCATGAGAATGTAGGGACCAAGAACCCTAACTGAAACTCCCAGTAACAATTAGACCTTGCAGAGGCAATTATTAGCTGGGTATGAGTTTGTTTCACAGACAGACCAAAACTGTGAACAGAGATTTGAAATCATACATAATTTTTTTAAGCAACTGAGATTACTAGAGAATGTATGGCTACAACTGCAGGGCAGTCTTGATACAAGCCAAGATTTAGAAGTGGAGTAAAACAGGAGACATAAGGTCTCTAGAAAACCAAAGGCCAATCCTGTTATGTCATGTGTGAGTGACTAATTGTCAGCTGTTTGTCAAAAGGGTATAACTGCCCCTTTCAACTTGAGAAAGAATATAGATGTCTTTTAGAAGTACGGTGTGGATCAAGACATGTCATAAAAAGGAATGCATTTTTAGTATATTATTTACTTTTTCAAAAGGGAGGCGGCTCGTTGTGGTAGTACTCTACAGTAAACATTCATTGGGAATTGGATGAGGAACATGGTATCACACCGCAATTCTATGCCAAGACCTAATGAAAAACGATCATTTTTACACCTACAACTCCATTTCAAATGGAACTGAAATAGAATGCGAAGCAATTATGAAACACTACAAGGGAAAAAGGGAGTCACCCTATGTCAGTATCAATAAAAACTACACTGGAGCAAATTTACAACATTTTTTCATCTATCCTCTCAAGTAAGATTTAAGGAGCACTTGTGTCAAAGAGACTATATTAGGTGCTGTTGAAAGATAAATTCAAAGTTTACAGAATAGTTCTTTATCCCTGGGGAATTCTTTACCATTTCCTAGCTGAGTGATTATGGGAAAATTACTCCGCCTCTTGGCACTTCAATTTCTTTGAGAAATGCAGATGACAACATTATCTCAGGGTTGTTGTGAAAATTAAAGATATATAAATAGCTTTGAAACAACACCTGGTATACTGTAGGCACCATAAAAGCATTAGTTATTAAGGGGGAGATAAGAAAACTTCCATCTAAGCAGTAGCATGCCTAAGAAAAAAATTCAAAGCACTTATTGATCACTACTATATTGATCATTACCTGTATATTTAACCTTTGTTTAACCCTGTAGGTTATTCTTTACAGAACAGAAAAACTGTAACCAGGAAATTTTGAAACTTGCTTAAGAGAACACACAGCTAGTAAGTGGCTTAATTATTTATCAAATCTTGATGTAACACCAGAGTTCACATACCTGCCAAAATATGCAGGAAACCTAACAATCAAGAAACTGGATACTAGTTCTGTTATCTGCCACCTGCTAGTTAGGAAATCCTGGCCCTTTTACTGCCTAACTGTGAAATGTTTTACCCTAACTTACTGAGACATTTCTAATTGATAACATGGTTCCTGTTCCCCGTGTCATAGGATAATTGTGAAGACCAAAAGTTAAAGAAGAACATAAAATGTAAAATCCTGTAATTTTTTCAGATACCTGACTAGTTTCACTTCCTACCTCTGAGGTCATCCTGATACTAAATACCAATTTCCAGGTACCAAATCTTTAAAGAAAACCACCAAAACTAAATTTTGATATATAATTGAAGACAAAAACACTTTGGATTCATATAGATGACCATTCAGACCTCTGCCCAATTCCTATAAGGTTTCAAACCTGTACTCACCAATTTAATTCAAGTCACATGAAATGACCATCACTACAGGCATGACCTGACATTGTCATGGTGACCACTGTTATGATGTTTAATGGTAACTCTGGAACCAGTAACCAGAATTTTGCAAAAATATACATCAAAATATTTCTTAGCATGTTACAACAGAACATGGCTGCCCAGGCTTCACTATTTTTACAAAAACACCACTTATATGTAAAGGGCTTTTATACACAAAAGTTCTTTTGTGTTCCTTATTCCATTTGATCATCTAGTATTTCTATCAGGATGGCAAAGCATGTTGCTCTTAGGAAAAAAACATTTATGCTCATAATAATTTTGAGGCATATCTCAGATCACTAACTCCTGTTTCAATGTCTATGTACTGTATTATATGAATTTTACATCAGAAACTGCTCAGTAGTGATTTTATTTTTTAATAAGTAACACATTAAGTTGAAAAATATTCCTAAAACCCCCCTGCATATTAATTCCATTCGAAGTCCTACCAGAAAGAATCCTTTATAAACCAAATCAACCCTCCCCATACAACTGTAGGTATAGCAACAGTAAACACCTTGTAGAAACTTACTGTACTAAACCAATCTTCTATATAGTATCTGAGAGTGTCACACATTGATAAAATACTTTGTGTTCACTTCCCCAATTTTAACAGAAGAAACTATACTTAGACCTGTGATCAAACATCCAATGGACTTTAAGTACTAAGAACACTCAATCAACCATTAATAACATTATTAATGGCTCAAGAATGAAGTAAATTAGAGAAATTTAAAATATTTTAAAAATGTAGGTTTTGAAGGGTCACCTTATAAATGTCAGAAAATGATGCCTAATTTAGCAAAACACAAATAACATTAAGATTTAATGTGATACAAAAGAAGTACCTCATAAAATCTGACTAATATTTAATTGATGTAGCTTAAGAAAAGCACAAAATTGGAAAGCAGATGAATTCTGGCCCCAGATTATTTAATGTGAGCCTCAGATAACACTAAAAATAGTTTTGTAATATGGGATTTTACTATCTCAATATAAGTTTCTTGAAAACATGAATATAAAATCAATGAGTAGTCAAAAGATCAAGACATCTGAAAAAAGATTAGATCAAAACATTTATTTTTTGTTACAAAAACAAAAATAAATCCAAGCAGATAATGAAATAAACATATGTTTTAAAGTATCCCATCCTGGTCTCTTTGTCTTAGTATTTCATATACAGTTCAAGTTTAGGCTACTTCAATGCTTCTTCTGGATGCTATGAAGTCTCCATCTTATAACCATGTTTCTCTAGTTCAGCTCTATAATAAAACACAAAGAACGATATCATTAAGCATTCTTTATGCTAAAAGAAACAGATGCTTTAAAGAAATAATACAATGAATCAATATTAAATAAACTAAGCCTGAGGGACCAGTTTAAAATATCAAATAAGTTTATTGTAGCTCCTAAAAATACCTGCAACAAGGAAACTGGATATGAATCAATATAACACTAACAAAATTTTGCTTTTCCCTTTAAGTTAATTTTATTTTCCTACAAATCTCTTTTTTATTTTTGTTTTGGTAGTTCTAAGGACTCAACTCAGGGCCTCACACATGCTAAGCAGGTACTGTAGCACAGAGCCACCCCTCTTAAACATAAATTTGGAGAATAATTAACCTTTTGGCTAAATACACATGAATGTCAAATTTTCAGATTTTATAATGACCAGAGTATTACTGTCGAATACACAGAAAGAATGGATCGCTTTCCACTGACATATATCTATTATTATAACAAAGAAAAATTGTTAATAAAATTTAAAGGTATGTGAGAATTTTCTGTTTTAACTACATGTAGTCAAATTAAATATAATATCATAAAATATTAAAACTTTACTTTCCTAATTTTAAATGTGGATGAAAATATCAAAGATTTACACTAGTATAAATAACTACACATTGAAAAACCACTTTTTATCAATTTAAATAATTTATCCAACTTGACATTTCATATTCTGAGAATGCCAACTGCAACTGGTGATCTGCTTTACATAAAACATTTGCACAAAGTAAATTAACTATGTAATCAATTTCAGCTATTTAAATAACCATTCCAAACATTACCAGTAAGTTATCTATCACAACTCAGATTTTATCAGAATTCATGACAATTAGAGGGCCAAATTATGATAAAACGCTGTATAAGTCTGTGTCATTATACCCAATAACATGTTCTCAAATATAATTTGTTTTAGATACCCTTACACTATCCAACATAACTTCAATGTAAAAAACACGATAGGAATGATATATAATATTATTCATATTCCCAAATTCCTTAGCTTTCTTAAATTTTTTAGCTACTTGTATTACAAATACCGAGCTAACTTTCATGAATTCCAGAGATTATTCAGATGATTCATCCTGCCTTGTAGTTGAGTATAGAACCCACATTATTTGTGGGCTGGTAGTATAAACACTGGATTATAGGCCAAAGAGCCCAGTGCAAATCTCTGGCCCTTCTTTTGCTAAGTTTAACTAAACTGCTTCATTTGCCTTTCGCCCTCAGGAAAATGAAAATTGTATCTGTCCTTCATATACAACAACTTAGTCCTCTTTGTTTTGGGGACTAAATGAAATAAAGTGACATGAACATAATGTAACATTAACATAAAGAACTAAGATTGAAGAGAAAAGCAAAAAGCTTCTTATTTTTGTTGACAGAAAGCAGCTCAAATGTTTCCTACAAAAACTGTTGTTACCAATCTCAGGGAGTGTGGTAATTATCTTTGAATTTTATCTCATGCTAAAATTTTATACTTTTCCTATTTAAAATGGACAGAATTTTAAAGCGTTCTTAAACATCAGTTTTCTGCTCCCTTTTATAAAATCTCTATAGATTAACTTTCTCTTATTGAACAGTCACAAAAAAATCCCCAAGAAGTTCAACCTAAGATCTAAATAATAAGTTTTGTATGTATTTACCTTCCTCATGGGAGGTGGTCACCAATTAATTACATTTACAAATTGTTTATGAACACAAAGGAGATGATGAAATGCAATCAAGTAAATTCTTAGGGAAGATGAAAAGTTCTTTATTAGAACTTAAAAGTATAAGAAACTAAAAGAAAAATAAATTAAGGCTACTAAGTACAAAAAAAACCACTATGGAAAAATCCAACAAAGAGAAGAAAGAGGGAAGAAACCCAGCATAACCAGATTATTATAGGACATACACAGTGAATGTAGACTATTTGAAATAAAAGCAGCAGCATTCATTTTGCAATTAAGAAAAAAAGACTAATACCAACTGGCAGTTTCTCAGCTTTGTTACAGGGTCTTTGTCTGACATAGTAAATCAGGAACTACACTGGCTTCTTGGATTTTTTTATGTAAGGTGTGATATAGGGTAGGAGAAAACCTCATAATGTTACCTATTTTTACTGATATACAGAGAAATAAATGATGTCAGGAGCAGAAAAAAATGGAATGACTCTTAGTTACCTGGAGACACAGACAGTTTCATTCTATATGTATTTGTAAATTACACTGAAAAAGTAATATGGAATGGCCAGGATAATACATTGAGGGCTTTTGTCTAACACACACCACATATTCACTCATTTAATCTTTACAACAATCCTATGAGTAAAGTACTAATTATTATCTGCATTTTATGTGAGAAAAGTTAGTCACAGGAAGGTTAAATGATGGCTTGCTCCAAGTCCTTATAGCTATGTAAGAGGCAGATCCAAGGTTGGAACCTAGGCAGTTTGACTCACCAGACTCTTGAGCTGCATCTCCAGAGTTATGATACCATAGTAAAGGCCTTCCTGAATTTTATACAGACCATAAAGACATCATTTCAAGAGACTTGTGAACCTTTACAAATGTCTTTAGACAAGGACTGACTGAGGCTGTATTGTTCAATATGGTCATCATGTGACTATTGAAATGAAATAAAATAAAAAATTCAGTTCCTTTTCTGCACTAGCCATTTGATGTACTCAATAGCCATGTGACTACTGACTTCTATACTGGATTGTGTAGTTTAAAGAACATTTCCATTAATGCAGCAGGTTCTGCTTGACAACGCTAGTGATTTATCAATAACCTAAATGGAAAAACCTCATGACTCAAACAGAGAATTAAGAAGGAAACACTTTATCATTAATGGCATTATCACAACTTAGATACTTATGGAAATCCAGAAACCAATGGACACACCACAATTTATACAGTTATGATAACCCAGAAACTGAAAGGCAGAAACACAACAGATAAAATAAAAACACTTGGAGGTGTATTATAAAAACAGTAAGTCACAAAGAATGTATGGAATATTCTCTAATCAGTAAAAAAAAGCAAAAGATAGTAGTGATGAGAAATCCAATTATTAGTACACTTACTAGTATAAGTCCCCTGATAAAAATCGTAATATTTAATAATATCTTAAATAATTAAGAGAAAAGTACTATTACATGATTAATGAAAGAAACAAATGATACAAAAACTCCAGAGAAATCTGACATTTTTGAATGGCAAAGAAAGAAAAACTCATTTAGTTTCAATTTTAAAAATTCCAAGATAGCAGAAAAAAAGAAAAACTGACTCTGCATTAAAAACATAGAATAAGGCTCAATAGCACTAGAAGGCCTGAATCAAAATTCTAACAGCATAATGACTCTGATGAGGAAGAAAGGAGGATGCATATTTTAAAGGAAGGTGGCAAGGCATTCTTCTCCGAGGTAGCTCAGAATAAAGCAAAGGCTGATTAAGGAAAATGAGAAAGGATAGGTCCAATGCTTAGTACAGCTGGTGTGCTACAAACAGATTGCAGAGAAAAGGCAGGATTACTGTTCAACAGTTACCATTCTCCTATCTTGTTCAAAATACTGTAAAAGGAAAAACACCATTAAGACAAAATTGAACACTAAGATAGGTGAGGCAACTCCAAACTGCATTAAAGTAATTTAAAGACCCTGAATAATTTTATCTCAGGACATTAGAATAACCAAAAAATACAATGAAGAATCTGAGTTAGCAATCTATAAGTATTACCAACTTAGTAAATTATAAGATTACAACAGACCTATATTTTGATTTGAGTAAAGCATGGGGTAAAGACAGGTTGAATTATAAAAATCTAAGGAAAGTAGTGTTTGTTCAACAAACGGTGCTGGGACAACTGGATATCAAATTGCAAAAGAATGCAAAAAAAAAAAAAAGTCAGACCCCATTTCACACTGCTTACAAAAATTAACTCAAAATGTATTGAAGATCTAAACGTAAGAGCTAAAAAAAACCATAGGGATGAATTTTCATTATCTTCAATATGGGAATTAATTCTTAAATATATTACCAAAAGCACAAGTAATAAAAGAAAAAGAAAAAAACAAAGATAAATCAGATTTCATCAGAATTAAAAATTTTGTGCAAAGGACAGTCTAAAGTAAAAAGGATGAAAACATATTTGCAAATTACATTTGATACAGTTTTGGGATGAAGAATATGTAAAGAAATCTTATGATTCAACAATAAAAAAGACAACACAATATTTGTTTATTTGTAAATAAATTTTTGGGGTTTTGAGATAGGTCTCTTAAACCCAGGTTGGTCTGTAACTAACAATCTTCTTGCCTCTACCTCCTGAGTGTGGGAAGGAGGTATATACCACCTCTCCTAGTGACAACCCGATTTCGAAATGAGAAAAGGACTCGAATAGATTTATTTTCCTTGAGGAAGCTTAATGGTCAAGAAGCATATGAAAAGTTTAGTCACAAGGGAAATTAAAATCAAGACCACGAGATAGTGCTTCACAGCTTTTGCTCTCAGGATGGCTGTAATTTCTTTAAAAACGAAAAATAAGTTCTGGTGAGTATGTATACATTGCTGGTAGGAAAGTAAAATTTTTTAAGACACTGTAGAAAACAGTTTGGCAGTTCTTCAAAAAATTAAACATGGGGCTGGTGGAGTGACTCAAGTGGTAGAGCGCCTGCCTAGTGAGTGTGAAGCTCTGGGTTCCATCAAAAAAAAAAAAAAGTTATCAAACATAGGATAACCCCAAAACCCAGCAATTATATATATATATATATATATATATATATATATATATATATCCCCCAAACTTGGTAACAGGTACTCAAATATACGTATTGCATGTTCATAGTGGAAGACAACTCATAACAGCCAGAGTGGAAATGTCTAACACGTTATGAGTAAGTACAACATATATCTCTATAATAAAGTGCTATTCAGTCATATAAAAGAATAAAGTACTGAACATGCTGCCATGTGGATGACCCTTGAATACATAGTGCATTAATTCCATTTATATGAGATGTTCAAAGTAGGCAAATTGTGTATATTTGTACATGAATATAAAAGTGTACACTCCAACAATTCTGATCTCCAAATCTGGGAATCACCAATCTATAGTATCTACTGGGTACCCCCAGTACTCTATGATTCTAACTTCTGGTAAATAATTGAATATTGGTAGAAAATTAACACTGACAGAATTAAGCTCACGAAGACAAAAAAAACAAAAAATAGCAAATAGGCTTCTATTTAACTACCTTTGAAAACAAAGACTGTACAGAACAAAAGTTGCATAAATTACACAAAGTATATTTTAGAACCTAGGAGGTGAAGGTAAGGTGTTATTTTGCATAATTCAAAATCTATTTCAAAGATGAAGTGTCTTTCTAAGAGGACATTTATTTAAGTTACACGTTCCAGGCTTACAATTAACACTGAGCTATACCAACAATCCAGCTTAAAACCTACCTTAACTGGTTGGAGAAGTCATCCTCTACATTGTCATCATCCCAATTATCCTCCCAGACATGTGCATCTTCATCTTCATCTAAACCAGCCCAGTCTAAAAATAGAAACACATGTCTAAATATTTCTTATTCATTATATCCACAAACATAAAAACTTCAGAAAATTTACCACTCAACACTCTCACAATTCAAAAATAGTTATCTGTGAGAAACTGTAATCCTCCTTAAATCTCAAAGTTTTTTGCTGTCTTGTTCTCTCAGTTCTTGAATTTTCAGATAACCTAAAATAGAAGTCAATAAAAAAAATTCTATGTGCCATTAAAACTTGTAACTTCAGGAGGATATTTACTTCACTGATTTTTCTTTCTTTTTTTTTTTTTTTATAAAAAACTCATTTTTATAAGGTCTATTTCACATTCTTTCAAACATATACCAACAACCTTAAAACAAGTTGAGTAACAGGAAGATAACACTGTAAATTGTTAAACATCAAAAGGAACAGTAACTCATATACAGATATTAAAAAGGAGAATAAATTATAAGCCACAACTAGTTTTTGAGTAATGACATCAATATAAAAGCTAAGATTCTTTTTTTGGGGGGAGGGACAGAGAACAGGACAGTACTGAGGTTTGAATTCCAGGTCTTTAGCTTGCTCAAATGAGTTCTATAACTTGAGCCAGGATTAAAGAAGGAAAAATGTAAATATGCATAAGGAGGACTGTGGCAGTTTTGAGTTTTCTAAATTTTCTTCTTTCTTCCTTTTCTTGTGGATGTAGAAGGAAGGTTTAGGTTAAGATTCTAGCTTTTGTTAGAATAATCAGAAAATACATTATGTAAGCGAACATCTTCAGGCATTTAGTACTGGAATAAGGAATTTCTACTGAGAAAATAATACTAAGAACACGGAACTTCCAGACCACTAGGTATACAAGTAGAAAGAAACTACCAATAAAATGGCCTTTCTAAAACCAAACCTCTAGTTATTACTTCTATTTCAGAAATCAAGGGGCCATACAGTGAAATATAAATTGTCTTCAAATATCCCTTCCCTTTGCCTAAATTAGGAATGTAAACCTGGTCTGTACTTCTTAAGAGCCTACCTGAATGATACAGTTTGGTAATACAGTGCTGACTTCCACATCTGTCTCCAATGTAGAACTCTCCCTTGAATTGTACATATATATCTTGCTAGGCTCTCTACCACTTGAGCCACTCTGTGACGGCCCTTTTTGCTTTGGTTATTTTTGTGATAGGTTCTTGCTTTATGCCAGGGCCAAGACCCTTCTAAGTTTCCCCTTATAGTTGGGATGGTAGATGTGCCCTACCACTCCTAGCTATTGATTGAGATGAGGTCTGGTAAACTTTTTGCTTGGGTTGGCCTCACACTGTAATCCTCTGGATCTCTACCTCCTGAGTAGCTAGAATCATAGACTGAGCCACCATGCCCATCTTTTCTTGAGACAGGGTCTTGCTATGTAGCTCTGTCTTGCATCTGCCTCCTGAGTCCCTCAATTATCATAATGTCTTTTCCATCTCAACTCCCAGGTATCTCCAAAGATCCCCACCTCCTCTTGTTCTTATTACCACTATATTAATTCTGGAAAAATTATTCCTTTCACTTTATGGAGGTCTTTTTTCCTGTCCTCTTAATACATATATGAGGAACATAAAGTAAAGGTGTATGGGGTACTGAGTAAGATCAAATTTTAAATTAAAAAGGAGCCTCATTTCAGATAGAAGATATGTTTCTCTTATAACCCAATCTCCAAAACTCAACAAGATAAATATTTCAAGTAATATTAAACTTATCTTTTGTAAAGTCCAGATTCTTTTATGTCAAACTTATAATAGAACAAGTGAACTGAATATCCTTTTATAGCAAATGAATATTCACAATGCTCTTATTCCTCTCCACATTCCCTCCAACCTTACTCTAATCTATAGTTCTGTAGCCATTTAATAATCTTACGGGACAACTTACAATTTATTATTTTCAGCTTTTAATAACACTAAAGCCTTCCTGCATTAAGAAAAAAAAAAAGTACATGAAACTACTTCATTGAACTGCATTACAGCAAGGTTTGGCTTTATAAACTTCAAGTTTTTATAAAATGCCCAAGACATGATTGCTTAAAGATCACTCTACATTATGCCCCCTCTTTATTTGAAAATCATCACCAAGACCACAATCAAAAAAACAGATAAACCCTCTCTGAACATTGAAGATATACTTAAAAAATTAAGGACAGGATTGTAAAACAGGTGCTGTTGGGAGAGGGAGTAGGCATTAGTGGGAATGGGAGGGTAAACAGAGGGGGTAAAGAGGGAGAATATGGTTGATGTACTTTATATATACTTACATAAAATAGAAATCCGTTGACATCATTTTTACGAGGGGGAGAAGGAGATGAAGTAATGGTGGGGTGAACTTGAAATCAAGGTACTTTGTAAGCATATATAGACATGGCACAATGAAACCCCTGGTACAACTAATATATGCTAATAAAAATGTTAAGTAAAAAACTGAACCAGGCACAAGTGGCTCCCGCCTGTAATCCTAGCTATTCAGGAGGCAGAGATCAGGAGGATCACAATTTAAAGCCAGCCACAAATTATTCAAGAGACCCTATCTTGAAAAACATTACAAAAAAGAGCTGGTGGAGTAGCTCAAGGTATAGGCTCTAAATTCAAGCCCAGTACCAAAAAAACAAACAAACTGCCCCCCGAAATATAAAAAAAGATGAAGTGAAAACTACCTTACAAGAAAGTATTTTACTAATTTTTTGCTACCATTGTTCCTCAATTTCAAGACCCAGTCTTTAAATACACTATTTGGATTGAGCCTAGAAACAGGAATTGTCCAAGTATCGGTTTTGCAGGTATTTTAAGATGTCATTATGAAGATATGGAGGCTTCATGTTCTAAAAATAATTTGATAAAGACTAGACACATGATCTTGAGAAGAGGGGAAATATACGTTGGTCAAGTCATAATGGAAGTGTTTTAACGTTCTGAGACACCAAACCTCCACTCAGTCTAAATCATTTTCAACCAAACATCTTCCTCACAGTTAACTAGGTAGTTTTCATCATTTCCTAAAAAGGAAATGAATATGTGCCAAAAGATGCAAGTTAGAAACATAAAATAAGAATATTTGACACTTTTCTGCTAAACCTTATGTCTTTGAAAACCACTGCAGAACTTTGTCTTTTAGAGTAATTGTCTTTTCAGAAAGGCAAAAATTATAGCGCCCCAGAAACTTTTAATCTAATTATTTTTAGATTCAAAATGTTGATGTCAATATTGTTGTTACCTGATGTCATTCAAATGTCTCCATGCTGGCTTTACTTCTTTAAACTTTGTTAAAGTAATAAAACGTACATTTGGCCCATGATCATTTGGCATAAAGATAAAGCATCTCTCCCTGCTTTAACAACCATCTCCTGCTAATTTGTTCGACTCCTGCATCTACATATTAAAAGAAATGGACAAGATAAAGCTAAAGTTCTAAAGAAAAGAAAATGGCTTATGGGGAAAAGAGGGAATACAGGAGTAAAGGTTTTAAGAAGAACGCAAAAAGATTCATGGAAAAAGTCTTGTACTTCTTTGGTATGAATAGAGAACTTCATAATAATGATATTGTTTATACGAAGATAAAGTTGGATCAAATTTTTTATTAATTACCTTATAAATATGAATATATTTTAAAATTTTAATACCTACCTTATTCTAGGAGTAAGATGTACTAAAATGTGTATCATACCAACTTTTCAATTATTATAAATAAGGAATCTGAAAAATCACTTCTTTTGAGTTATAATTTATTAAGCATTAGAAATTAACAAGAGTATCATTAAGAAAATTAATACTCACACTGACAAATCAGACTCTGCCAATCTGGGGGAAACTAAAGATTATGCTTATTAAAAAGAATTATGCAAAAAACTTAAGTTACAGTTTAATACCGCAAAATAATATTTCCAAAACTTATAAATTATTGTACATACGTTAAAATATATGTTAAGTTGCAACACATGCAACTCTATTGAGTATATAATATAAAAATATCTGACATTTTTTGGGTTTAGCTGACATCTCTTGCATCTCTGAATTGTTTTGATTTTCAATTATAATATAATACTGATAATCAAGCAATTTTATTTAGTCACTCATTTTTAAGTTCAGAAATAGCTTATTTTAAAAGGGCAAAATAAAACCAAACAAGGATACCTGATTTACGTCTAATGCCATTCTGCAATATGTAGATAGTCTTATAAAGCATATATTTTATCTTCAACAGTAAATGCATTGCTAGAATTGTGAATTAATCATTTAAATAAGCACAGCTGCATTTACTTCAATGTTTGGGCCTCCAGATGTACACTCATTAAAAAAAAAAAAACATACTTTTAAAAGTCAGAATTAGAAATCAGCAACAGATGCCTAATACATAAGTATCTAGCAACTCTAAACTATTTAAGATTTTGCCCCAAAGTTAGCTTTCTTTACATTTGCCCATTGAGAATTATAGTTGTGGTTAGCTTTAAATTTAAAAAACTGGAGCTACTGAAGATCTCACATACTTCATCTAAGTATCACCTTGACGTGTAAGTATCAAACAGGTTTTCTCTCATCTTAGAAAATGTTTTTAATACTCTTCCATCTTCCGGCAAACATTCCCAAATTTCTTAAAGAAATGAAGTATATCACTTTGGAGAAAAGTAAGGAAGAAATTCTATTTAACTTAAATAGGGCTAAAACTTTTCAGGAGCATTAAATTCTCACTCTATAATAGTAAAGATATTCTGAATATAAACAAACTAAACTTCTTCAAATAAAAAATGTGCATATATATACAGAACATTATGACAAGAAATATAAATAAACTCTGTACTTATCATCAAAGGTATGAAAGAAAAAAACACAGTTGCAAAGAGCACTATTATACTCATGATCATGAAAATGAAGCCACACCAACTCTAGTCAACTTACATGTGTTCTTGCTTAGACCATATAAAACAGATGATTTTTTTCCTAAAATTTCATTTCTGCAGATCATCTGCATGCAAGTGCAAACACACCTATCCCAGAC